AAAAAAAAAAATTTATTTGGCATCTGCCTAACAGCAGGGGGACACATAAAAAAAAAAAAAAAAAAAAAAACACAAAACAGAAAAAACAAAATTTATTTGGCATCTGCCTAACAGCAGATACAGTTCTAAGAAACGAAAATACTAAAATACTAAAAAGCTGAAAGACTGTCTATGTGGTTATGCCAGTGTTTACAATAAACCTGAGATGGTAACAACAAGAAACCATGAAGTTCTACCTTCTGGCTTTGCGGCCCTTCCCCCTCATCCCAGCTGCCCTCCTCTTGCTGCTCATAGGCAGGGCCTCCCAGGATTCTGATTCTCTTTTCACACTGCTTCTTGGCCACAGTCAGCTGGTTGATGTACCTTTTCATATTCCTGGCCCTCAGGAGGTCAGCTTTCATTGCAGCAGTCTCTTTACCTTGAACAGAAGGGATGAACAATCCTCATTCAGAGGACAGGGTATAAAAGGGGGAATAAAACAACTCTGACCTAGATCAGCATTTGATATGTCCATTTTGAACAACAGTGGATACTAAATAATATAACAGACTTCATGATAAATACATATATATATTCCCAAACACAAATACCTATCATTTCTAAATATAATTTCTTTTTTTTTTTGAGACAGAGTCTCATTATGTCACCCTTGGTAGATAGAGTGCTATGGCATCATAGCTCACAGCAACCTCAAACTCTCAGGCTTAAGTGATTCTCTTGCCTCAGCCTCCTGAGTAGCTGGGAGTACAGGCACCTGCCACAATGCTCAGCCATTTTTTCATTGCAGTTGTCATTGTTGTTTAGCTGACTCGGGCCAGGTTTGAACCCGCCAGCCTCGGTATATGTGGTTTAGAGCCCTACCCACTGAGCTACAGGAGTCACCTCTAAATATAATTTCTAAATATACCACTGACAACTGTAACTTGTAAAAAACACTTTTATAAAACCTCTGCATACATACAAATAGATGTGCACATGTGTATGCATATATATTTTTAATACCTTTATGAGTACACGTACAAATGCAAACTCATTTATAACATGTATTGAGACTCTAACCCAGGCTTCTTTTAAGGACATGATATTCATACATGAATAATGGAGCAGAGTGTGGCAGACAGAACAGCTGGTATGAAAGCAAGAACCTTCGGTGGGAAGAACAACAGAACTTTGGAGAAAATGAAAAGAGGAGAACGTGGCAGATGCTAGAAGACCCAGGACGAATGGTTTAGGAAATGGATGTAGCAGCTTCCTCTTTAAAAATTCTCCTCTGAATTTTCTGCAGCACAAGTCAAATGTGTTGCAGTTTAAACTAAGCTACTACCTTTGGCATGGGAAGAGGAAAGGAGTGGAGGAGGGGGAGAAGGGAGAAGGAGCTTCTGCCTACAGAGGACAGGCTAGGGGTTCATAGATTTCTCATACTACTTTGGAAACATTAGTCATTCCAAAGTCTGGCCCTTAATTTAGAAACTAATTGCTAGACTCAGCGCCTGCAGCTCAGCTAGGCTGCCAACCACATCCACCAGAGTTGGAGGCTTCGAACCCGGCCCTGGCCTGCCAAACAATAACTACAACAACAACACCAAAATAGCTGGGCATTGTGGCAGGCGCCTGTAGTCCTGTAGCTACTTGGGAGGCTGAGGCAAGAGAATCACTTAAACTCAAGAGTTTGAGGTTTCTGTGAGCTGTGATGCCACGGCATTCTACCTAGGGTGATCAAAAAAAAAAAAAAAAGAAAGAAAAGAAAAGAAATTAAAATGCTAAACATTCTTAAAGTTGATTGAATCCCAAACTCAAGATACTAATTTATTCATTCTTTCAGTAAAGACTCAGTGTCCACTGTGGTGTCCATCTAGGTGCTGTGGATACAGGGGTATAAATAAAACATACTGTCAGTCTTCCCTATTCAAAAATATTTGCCAAGAAACCCCATAAAACAATATAAATTAATGATGCAGCAGTAAAAATAGAAATTGTAAATATAACAACTATTTACATAATATTTACATTGTATTAGGTATTACTAAGTTTTTAAGAAGAAAAAGCAGCTAGAAAATCCAAAATGAATCTGAAACAGGCAGGAGCCACAAGACAAAGCCTTGGCCAGGTGAGGTTGCTCATGCCTATAATTCCAGAACTCCAGGAGGCTGAGTCTGAAGGATCGCTTGACCTCAGAAGTTTGAGACCAGCCAGAGCAAGAATGAGACCCTGTCTCTACTAAAAATAATAGAAAAATTAGCTGAACACTGTGGTGAGTACCTATAGTCCCAGATACTCGGGAGGCTGAGGCAGGAGAATCACTTGAGCCCAGGAGTTTGAGGTTGCTGTGAGCTAAGACGAATGCCACAGCACTCGACCCAGGGTGACAGAATGAGACTCTAACTAAAAAACAAACAAACAAAAGCACACAAAACCTTGCAGGCCAGAGAAACCACTTTGTTCTCAAGTGCAGGAGTACTGAGAAACGTTTAATGGGTTTTAAAGAAGAGTATACCATAAATGGGTTTTATTTTAGAAGACTATATAGGAAGCAGAATAAAAAAAATATATACTGGAAGGTGAAAGACTGCTTGTAGGAAGTCTAGTTAGGAGACCATCACAGCAAAATAGAAGAGGGAGATATGATGGCCGACACTAGGGTCCTGGAAGGGACAGCAGAGAGCACTGGAGATTTGAGAATGACTGCTATATAAGATACTGGCTAGGCAGGGTAGAGGGCAGGTTGCTACAGAATTATAAGAAAAAAAAGGTGTCAAACATGCTCCTAGGTTTCTCACCTATGGGGATGGGGAGGCCAATTACTGAATCAGAGAACATTAAAGAAAAAGCAGGTTTGTGGACAACATGGCAGATGACACTTTCCAAAGATGGCTATGATATTTTCCATCTCACATGCTCTTTTTACAATGTTACTCTGCCAATTTCCCTTTGACAAACAGGGTATATGTTTCCTTCTCTTGGATCTGGGTGGACTTACGATTATGATAAAAGTGATACTATGACTTCCAAGATTAGATCAGAAAAGGCCCTTAACTTGGAGCTCTGAGTTACCACAAGTTGCTACCCTGCTTTAAAGAAGTCTGAACCACTGGTCATCGTAAACAGCAATGTGGAGCCCCAGCCCATGTCCAGCACCCAGTGAAGTGGGACATCCTGAAAGTGAACTGTCTCACGCTGGTCAAGCCACTCCAGCTGAGACTGTGATGACACAGAAAAGTAGTATTCTTCCCAAGCACCACCTGAATTGCAGATCCATGAAAAAAAATAAGTGACTGCTATATAAGATACTATGCTTTGAGATGGTCTATTATATCGCAAAGGGTTTCTGAGCTAAGTAGAAGACAGAAGGTCTAGAGTTCAAAAACACTGAAGGATGGCAACAGACATCCCAGAAATATGTGAAACAACCCAGGAAGAAACAAGATGATCCCAGAACACCAGCCAAATAAACTCTCCTTTAATAGAGGGAAGGGAAGCTGCTGACAAGGGAGCTTAGATGTACCTCTACAGGTAGGGCAATTCTACCACCAGCACCAAGGACAGCGCCTGACAGCAGCAGAGGAACTCACTGGATTATAGAATGGATGAAAACCTGTGTCAAGCCTAATGCTTTACAATGGTCAAGAAAGCTTCTCCTTTGTCTAACACAGGTCGGAGCTTACAGTCTTGCTGCTGCTTCTACACGCCATCCTGTCCTTGTAACCCTAGAATTTGCCATGTTTTGGAAATCCATGTGGGGGAGGGGTGGGGCCTGGATGGGTATGTGTGGCATCTTCCTACTTTTGTGTAAAGTGCCCAAGGGGTCTTAGTTTGCATATTCAAATACTAGATACAAAAAACAGTCTGCTATATATTTCTTCACTTAGCTTCTTGTTATATTTATGGACATTACCAGTTTTTTGTACCTTCTTAGCTAAAGCAGTTGCTTTTTTGTAATGCAATTAATTTATATGATAAAACTTTGTATCTACCATAGTTTATAGTGTTAATTGCTAATTAACTGCCATTTTGCCCTGTTTTTCTATTAAAAAGAAGAACTTGTATTGTGCGTGATTGATAAATGATTTCTATTATCTTCAAATGAAAATAAACACTGAGTAGAAAAGAAAAACTGTGTCAAATGTTAGATTTTGCTAACTACTTCCTATGTATCAGGTAAAGGGCTTTTTCTAGAACTTTGGCTACAAAGGAGAGAGAGAGTATCCTGAACTCTAACTATTCCAATCTGGCTCCCAGCCCTCCTCTCTACCAAATTTGCTATTGCTGAGATCACTAGTGACCTCCACCACAAAGCCAGCAGAGAGTTTTCAGCAAAGTCTGCTTTCAGAGTTAAGATTAGAATTCTGGCTTTGTTACTTAGAAGCTATGTGCCTTTGAGCTAAAAGCTTTTTAAAATTTAATTTACAGGCTCGGTGCCTGTGGCTCAAGCGGCTAAGGCGCCAGCCACATACACCTAAGGTGGCGGGTTTGAATCC